TCCCCAGTCTATTTCTGTTCCTCGTTATAGAATGGCTCCAGCTGAGCTTAAGGAATTGAAAGAGCAGTTGAAAGATCTTCTAGATTAGGAGTTCATCAAACCTAGTATTTCCCCATAGGGTGCACTGGTGTTGTTCATGAAGAAGAAAGATGGTTATCTCAGGATGTGCATTTATTATAGACAGTTGAACAAGGTCACAATCAAGAATAAGTACCCTATCCCCAAGATTGATGACTTGTTTGACTAACTTCAGGGTGCTAGTCATTTCTCGAATATAGACCTCAGATCCGGTTATCACAATTTCTGAGTCAGAGATAGTGACATTCCGAAAACAACATTCAGAACTAGATATGGTCATTAAGAATTTGTAGTTATGTTATTTGGACTAACCAATGCTCCTGTAGCTTTCATGGGCTTGATGAACAGAGTGTTCAAGCAGTATTTGGACTTGTTCGTTATCGTCTTTATTGATGATATCCTCATTTACTCTAAGAATGAGAAAGAACATGTGAATCAATTTAGGGTTGTCCTGTAGATTCTCAAAGATCGCCAGTTATTCGCTAAGTTCAGCAAATGTGAGTTTTGGTTGCAGTCAGTTGCTTTCCTTGGGCATAAAGTGTCTAGCAAAGGGATCCAAGTGGATTTTCAGAAAATAGAAGCATTGAAACAATGGCCCAAACCTACCTCTCCTACAGATATCAGAAGTTTCTTGGGTTTGGCTGGCTATTGCAGAAGGTTCGTGGAAGGATTTTCATCCATAGCCTCTCCATTGACTAAGTTGACGCAGAAGAAGGTTAAGTTTTAGTGATCAGATGATTGTGAGAAAATCTTTGTAGAATTGAAAACTAGGTTGACTACAACTCCTATTTTGACTCTACCAGAGGGGTCAGACGATTATGTTATATATTGTGATGCATCCAGAGTCGGCCTAGGTTGTGTGTTGATGCAGCGAGGTAAGCTTATAGCATATGCTTCTAGAAAGCCTAAGGTACATGAGAATAACTATCTTACTCATGACCTCGAGCTAGCAGCAGTGGTGTTTGCTCTTAAGATTTGGAGACATTACTTGTATGGTGTCCATGTAGATGTGTTCACAGACCATAAGAGCTTTCAGTATGTTGAATCTTCACCAGAGGATATAGCTTGAGTTCCTCAAGGATCATGATATGAGTTTGCATTACCATCCTGGTAAGGCCAATGTAGTAGAAGATGCTCTTAGCAGACTATCTATGGGTAGTGTAGCACATGTGGAGGAAGAAAGAAAAGAGCTAGCAAGTGATGTTCGCAGACTGGCTCGCTTAAGAGTTCGTCTTATGAGCATATCAGATGGTGGTGTAACAGTTCAACATGGCCAAGAATCTTGATTGGTAATGGAGGTTAAAGAAAAGCAAGATAGTGATCCGATACTACTTCAACTAAAGGGTGCAATCCATCAGCAGAGAGTTGAGGTTTTCTCTCAAGGGGGAGATGGTGTGCTTCGCTATCAGGGTCAATTATGTGTACCTAAGGTGGGTGAGTTGAGATAGCAGATTCTTGTAGAATCCCATAATTCTAGATATTCTATTCATCCAGGTGCCACTAAGACTTATTGTGTTCTTCGAGAAGTCTTTTGGTGGAATGGTATGAAGAGGGATATAGCGGATTTTATGGCTAAGTGCCCTAATTGCCTGCAACTGAAGGTAGAACATCAGAAACCAAGAGGTATGAATAAAGAGATCAACATTCTTACTTGGAAGTGGGAAGTGATGAACATGGACTTCATTACAGGTTTACCTCATACTCGTAGACAACATGACTCCATTTGGGTGATAGTTGAAATTATTACTAAGTCAGCACGTTTTTTAGCAGTCAAAACAATAATTTTGGCATAGGACTACGCCAAACTTTACATTAATGAGATATTAAGGTTGCATAGGGTTCCTTTGTCTATCATCTTGGATAGAAGTCCTTATTTTACCTCTCATTTCTGTAAGTCATTTCATAAAGGTCTTCGTACTCAAGTTAATCTTAGCACAACATTTCATCCGCAGATAGATGGGCAGGCAGAGCTTACCATTCAAACCTTAGAGGACATGTTGAGAGCTTGCGTGATCGATTTCAAGGGTAGTTGGGATGATCACCTTCCTCTCATAGAGTTCGCCTACAATAATAGTTACCATTCCAGCATTTAGATGACCCAATATGAGGCATTGTATGGGCATAGATGTAGATCACCAGTTGGTTGGTTTGAAGTAGGTGAAGCAGCCTTGATAGGGCCAGATTCAGTTCATGATACTATGGAGAAAATGCAACTCATTAGAGATAGACTTAAGACATCTCAGAGTAGCCAGAAATCCTATGCAGATGTAAGAAGAAGGGAACTAGAATTCCAAGTTGATGATTGGGTTTTCCTAAAAGTGTCACCTATGAAAGGGGTGATGAGATTTGGCAAGAAAGGGAAGCTCAGTCCTATATATATAGGCCCTTTCAAGATCTTGAAAAGGGTTGGTAAAGTGGCTTATAAGTTAGAGTTGCCAACCGAACTAGCAGCAATGCATTCAATTTTTCACATTTCGTTGTTGAAGAAGTGTGTGGGTGACCCAACGTCTATTGTGCCTTTAGAATGTGTGGCTTTGAAGGATAGTCTCACTTATGAAGAGGTAGTAGTTGAGATTCTTGATCGTCAGGTTCGAAGGTTGAGAAATAAAGAAGTCGCTTCAGTTAAGGTTTTGTGGATGAGTCAGTCCGTAGAGGGAGCTACTTGGGAAGCAGAAGCAGCCACGAAGGCCAAGTATCCTCACCTCTTTCCTTCTGATTCCATTACAACTTGAGGTAACAGTTCCTCTTCAGTTTTTCAGTCATTCATGCACAATTTCAGTCTTAGCATTATGTTCCTTTAATTGTATTTGCATTTTCAACATATTTGCATGTTCTTGGAACTTAGCTCAATCAGAAATCAATTTCCAGTGTTTAGTGGTAGGGGATGCATCTCTCTCCCTCCATCTCAGCTAGTTTAACCTTCATTCGAGGATGAATGTTTCCAAGGGGGAGAAAATGTAACACCCCGTATCCGAAAATAGTCCAAAATACAGATATTTAGAAGTTGCAGGTGCAACCCACAGTTGCCACCCACGGACCGTAGGGTGACCCACAATCCGTTCGGTCCATGGATCACCATATGCAACACTCCCCAGAAAGGCCCAAGAAAAATACCTAAGTCTTGACCCACGCCTGGACCTACATACCGTCGGTCAGATCATGGTCCGTAGTCCAGGGCCATAGGTTGGACCACATATTTCAACTCCTAGAACCCCATCGACGGTTGACCAGAACTGATCGTCAGTCCATCCATGGTCCGTCGTTCCCGTCCGTCCGTAGCCCCCGACAACAGTTAAGTTAGGGGTCTTTTGGTCTTTTCCTTATGCATTGGACCCCTAAACTACATAGTTTTTGTCTGTTTTAGCATAGTAACTTAACTAGATCTACCCTAAGAAAATCATTCATGAAAAACATAGAAAAATTAGAACGCAGAAGGAGAAAGAGTCTACAAAGCCCTAGTCAAAGAACGCATCGAGTCTTCATCAGTTTCCTTCCCGAAATCAAAAGATTTCTCCATGAAATTCTTCACCGAGCATGTGGGATTTCACTAGTGGGTTCCTTTCCCCATTAGGTCCCTAGAATTCAGTCAGATTCTTGATTTCCTTCAGATTATCTTGACCAAGGGTTTCTAGAATTTCAGCAGATCATTATGAATTAGTTGGCTTAATGTTCCTAATCAGATTATCATGATTGTAGTATGGTTTTGTGTAGATACCTTAATAAATTTATAACCGTAGCTAGGTCAGATATTTCAGTTATACATACCTTAGATTTAAATGTTTCATTATCAGCATATTAATGTTGCATTTTCAGTTAGCATGTCAGTATTTTGAGCTATCCAGTATTACAAAACTTACTATAAAATGTTAATTACATAATCAATTGGGAGAAGCTTACTACTGGGTGGACTAGGGTCAGTCACCCGCAAGTCCCAAAACTACGTGCCCTGTAGGTTGTAAGTCCCCTCTGTGGGCATCATTTTAGTGATCACGCTAACATACCACTATACCTCTTGCAGGATATATTGGGTCCTCTCGATGGGGAGTATACATCCGACTCCACATTTAGCTCATGTGGTTTTATGTCGGTTATTAGTAGCTCCCACAGTTCAGGCAGATTCTCTTACATTGACCATGTTATCAGTACAGTTCAGTAATAAGTCTCAGCATGTTATAAACTTGGTCATTGCATTCATTTTAGTCATGTTCAGTATTTTCAGTAGCCTTATCATGTTCAGAGTATATCATTGCTTTATTGATTGTTTAATTATGTTATTGTTCAGCCTTATTCTATCATGCATGCTCAGTACTTTTTAAGTACTGACGCATACTATGCGCTACATCTTCTCGTGATGTAGGTTCAGGTCCTCAGCAGTCAGATCACACATATATCGATTCCCGATCTTCAGTTCAGCAGCATCAGTGGTGAGTCCTCATTCTTCGAGGATGAGTAACATGATTATCTTTCTTGCTTTTAGCTTTAATTTCAGTTTTTCTAGACCTAGCTGGGGCATGTCCCAGCATTTCTAACCAGTAGAGGCTTTATTTTAGACATAGTTAGATTCAGCTATAGTGTTAGAGTTTGACCTTTCATTTGTATTTAAACTCTCAGTTTTTATTTATTCAGATAGTATATGGGTATTTCCCCATCATTTTAGATTATTCATATGATTTATCTTCAGCACATTATTTATTGATTCAGTTTTCTTTAGTATGCTTATGATATGCCAGCAGGGTTAGCTTGGTGTCACTCGTGATCCTAGGTCACATGTCCGCGTCCAGGGGGTAGCCTTTGGGTGTGACACCCGAGGTCAACCCCATGATAGCTAGCACCTTATACACTTCATCTATAAACTCTTGAGGATCTTTTTCCACCTTGGAGCCATAAAACTCTGGAGGGTTCATCCTCAAAAACTCTCTCACTCTTAAAGCCGTGGAATTTTCATTAGGGTTTACCGGAGCTACCATCTCCCTATTGGCTTGAGCCATCACAGCCTGAGCCAATAATTGGAAGGCCGATTTAAACTCCGCATAAGTCACATTCTCCCCTATAGGGTCATTTGGAGCTTGAGGAGGAGCTTGGGGTGGAAATTGGAGAGGAACCTCTTGCTCCTCATTGCCTTTCTCATTCCTCCTAGCATATTCCCTTGTATTAATCATACCCTGAAAAACCATAGGGCACGGATTAGAGCCAAATTCTATGGCATGCCTTAGAGAATGAAGAAGTGAGATTTCCTAAACATCCAATAGCCTCTTATTCATAAATGTGACGCGCTTCACATTTATGAACAAGACACTACTAGACATGGTTTGAGACAATCCTAGAACCATTCTAAACCCTGTGCTCTAATTACCAAGTTTGTCACGACCCAGGGGTATACCCTAGATGTAACATGGCGTACTTGACCCCAAAGGGGTCTCATACAAGCCCTTAGCATATCATAACATAAGAAAATATAAAATTGCGTAATTTTAAAACATTTTTTCATACAATCAAAGTCTTTATAAAACGATGCGGAAGTCTTACTACACTTTTGTCTCAAACCATCTAACATAATATTTTGAATAACTCTTGGGACAAAGACCATACAATAGTCTCAAGACATGAAAATAAAAGACATAAAGGAAATGGTGGCTTAATCCTTGAAGCTATAAGGACTCACCAAGTCTTTAATTCCTTGCATTTCTAGAATTCTATCTTCAAGAATGGAACTCAAATCTTCGAAACCCTAATATAAGCAAAAGTATGCGTTACTATAAAAGTACTAAATATGATAGCTAGCATAACATCATAAGAGAATAACATAAAGGTTAGTCAACATAAGAGACACTTCAGAAAACATAAACTATAAGCATAAGAGACAATATCATAATCATATGCAAAGTCTCCAACATATGCATCATATAATCATTATTAGACTCTTTAGTCCTTCATATCATAAAAGAATTAGTTCCCAAGTAACCTTAAAGAATACTTGTGCAATGCATGAATGAGACCGCATAATCCCATCCATACTAAGTACCACTTTTAGGTCATCATAATCATACTTACCATCTTAGGATCTCATCCTTAGCTTATCTCTCATAGACAAGGGAACTTTAACCTTTAGTCAAGCATATTCAAGGAAGGGCAACTATGACAATATTCCAAGCTAAGCATATATCATCTAGGCAAATATCACATTAGGACATGCTCACATTACTTCCTTGAAGTAATCTAGTTCCATCATACACATGCTACTTAGATTAGGGACTTGTCCCTCATATTCATAATAATCATGGAGAGTACCTCCTTACAAGCCCAAGACAAGTCATTACTCATAAATGGTCATAACTCACCTATTCAAGGCTACCAAGGAAAAGTACTATTACTCAACCCAAGCTAAGCATGCAACACATAAGAGACATACTTCGTAAGTAGCTTCAAGTTTTTCTTGTGCAATGCGTGAATAAGACCCCATAATCCTACCCATGCTAAGTACTACTTTAGGCTATCATACCTCAATGATTATTATTTATCATTCTATAATAACAAGGAATAGCACCCTATTAGGATAGACCAAGCTATCATGGAAACTACATGAATCATGCAAGTCCAAGCTATATTAGGAAGGGTAAAAGTGTTCCCTCCTAGCTACCATGAAATAGTCTTGGACCAAATAAGTCATGCAACCATACAAGCACCCTATGATGCTAATGTAAGCTACCCTTAGAAAAGTATGATTTCTCAATCCTAAGCTACCATGTAATGGTCTTGGCCTAACCAGGTCATGCTACCTGTCACGACCCGGGAGCACCCCCAAGTCGTAACAAGGCGTACTCGACCCCGAAAGGGTCTTATACAAGCCACATAGTCATTCATTGCATTCAATAATGAAAATAGTGCGGAATAAATAAAAAAAACTTATTTACATCCACACATTTAAACTTCTTAAAACAACTTTAAAAACACACAGCGGAAGTCTAAGTCTCACATGGCCATCTTAGACACAAACAAAAACATAAGTAGGGACACGACCCTTTACAATCAAAACAAAACTAAAAGTGTCTATTACATGAACAAAAGAACTTAAAAGTCTTGTCCTCGAATCCATGAGGACATACCAAGTCTTGGAGGAAAGCAATCCAACACTTCAAACTAGCTAAGAGGGATCACTTGCCGGAACCTACACTTGTAGTAAAAACATGAAGAATATGGGTTAGTACACAAAAATGTACTAAGTATGATGACCATGCAAAACATGCTTTAAAAGGGACATTTTGGTTAGAAACCATGCATTATGCCACTTTTTGAAGTACCATGAATAGTTGCATAAAAGACATACAATACAAGCATAAACATCAAGTAAGTCATAATATTACCTTTAAACAATTTCAACATGAAAACCTTTACCTTGGACCTTCACCTCAAGAAACCCTATGGTATACCTCGTGCAATGTATGGATGGCGTCCCATACCACCATCCATACTAAGGCACCACATTTAGGTCACTTAAAGTAACTTATCATTCCTTTCTTTCACCTTTGCACAATATTCATACATAAGAGGTATATCATTAATTAAGACATGACAAGGGAAAATAACTCGCAATATAACCCAAGTATAACATGCATAACATATTAAGCATTTAAGAGCCAACATTCTTTAATAACCTCATTTAGGCCACAATTGTATCACATACATTAGGATTTAGAGAAACTCACTATGACCCTCTCCAAGCCTACTCGTGCAATGTATAGGTAGCATCCCATACTACTACCTACACTTTGTAGAACCTGTCAAGAAACCATAATGAAATCTCACATGATGGGAAGTAAGCATTTAACCGACATAGACCATGAGAGCTTGTCATGGAATCCGGTGTCATGAGTCCCCACACCGAAAAGAGGTGGTCTACTTGCCTAAGGAAGACCGGTATATATAGCTTAATGGATCCACTAGCTTCCTATGCGGGCACATAGTTTATGGGATAAGGTAGACGATCATTGAAACTCATGCCTAACTGTCGGGGGAGTTTCCATCTAACCAAATCCGCTCGGTGCTTAGCCTACATTCCCATAGAATAGTTCATTACTTTGACATCATCACACATGAAAGGGTGCCATAAGCCTACCGATTCAAGGTACATTTAGGAAAGCTCATTAACTCCTCTTGAAAGGGTGCCATGGGCCTACCGATTCAAGTCTCATCATTAACCTTTATGGAAAGGTGCCATAGGCCTACCGAATCCAAGGTTCATTACTTATCATTAATGGAAGGGTGCCATTAGCCTACCGATCCAAGGTTCATTATAAGCATGTGTGGAAGGGTGCCATAAGCCTACCGATCCAAGGATTCAACAATCAACAATATAATCATTTATACAAGAAAATGATGCATAAGCCCTACCAATTCAAGGTATACTTTATATTGAAGAATCCTTCATATTATATCATCAACATTCATGAGTGTCATCAACACATCTCTGGATTTCCATACATCTCATAACTCAAACTTTAAAGCATCGATTCATCAATTCTCCATAGTTGGACATTTTGTCAAACACCTTGAAGGCATGTAATGGAATCAAAGAGCATGGAAAATAGGGTAGTAATTATGCAACCAAACCAGTGAACAACCTACAACAACACCTTTACATTCATAACATGATCACATTATCTTCATTGAACTCTCATTCATACAATGTCATGATAACACTTCAATTTCTCATACTTTGCCTTTAAGGCCATAAGCCTCTCATACCAATACACCAACAATACACCATAAACTAAGCATGAGTAATGACATACTTCAACAATCTAAAGACATTTAAACAAGTTCGATTCATATACATTCATTATCAAGCAACCCACTTTATAAAGGCATAAACTAGGAATAGAGAGAAATCATGGGTTCATGGAGTATTTTCGTCATAAATCATCATTTAAACACTAATACAATCATAATAAGTCATTAATAACCATTTGAAAACGTTTGAAGAAGGAACCCATGAGTTAGAGTGAAAACCTAGATTTTGAAGAACTTGAAACCTTTGAAAACTAACTTTGAATGGACTCTAGGGTGAAAGCTAACCCTAGATGAAGGATCACCATACCTTTGCTATGATCTTGCAAGAAATTGATGAAGAAAGACTTGAATCCAAAGCCCTAGCTTCCACTTCTTCTTCTTCTTGAGTTGGAGAGAATATTTGAGAAGTGAGGGAAATGTTTTTAGGGATGGGAATGAACTAATGATATATAGGAAATAATATATGTCATTTGGAAGAAATGGTCCAACACTTAGAAAAAA